TGATAAAAAGATAAAGGAACAGTAGAGGTGATTGCTGCAGCTATGGGGGGATGTGTTTGGGAGGGCAGGAGTGGGTGTCACCGACTGGCATCGCAGCAAGGACAGTCTGAACTGTGTAACAGGGAGGGTTTAGTATGGGCAATGGAGAAAAGTGAGATGTTTGGGATTTTCTTATTTTAACAGGCATCTGGGATACTTGCTTGTTTGTACTCAGGCTAGGTGATTTGGAAACCCCATGGAAAAGCAAAAGAGAAGGCTGATATTATATAACCCACATGTGTGAAAAGACAGAGTGTTTTATGTCCTGAGATTGTTGATTTATCTAATGAGGAGCTCAGCACTTGTTCCAAGAACATGTTCTGCCAACCCCACAAGTCCCAGGAGGGGAATGGATCCTGCTTAAGAGACCTTTTGCAGATAGTGGGATAAATATGGCAGATCTCTGCCTTAGTAGAGGCAGAGATGCCTACTGAAGGCAGTAGTTGTAGTAATACTTATCTGTCCTGAGATGAAGTGTTTTCTGAAGAACTGCTGCAAAAGTTGTATGAGAACATTTTTAGAATGAAAGCCCTTTATTCTAGGTTATATTTTTTGCTTAGCAAGTATTTTCATCCTGAGATTTCCCAGTCCTAATCTAGCAAAACACTTCTGCTGTATTAAGGCCTCTTCTGGGAGTTACCAAAATAAAGTGCATTGTTAACAGGGTGCATTATTTGCTTACAAATAGAGCAACACCAATCAAATTCTCTCCTTTAATAAGAAATTAGTAACTCTACACTGGACTCTACACTACCCTTATTGAGGATACAGCAGGTTCTGATTTAAAGACCTTTGTCTGGGTCTGATAAATTTTATGTCTGGTCCCAAAGCAGACACCAATTTTGTCTCTTACTGTCCACTGATATTTATGGTCTTTGACTGTCCTTCTCTATATATCCTGCTACAAAACTTCTATACACCTGTTATTTTATAGTGTGGGTTCTCAAGTTCCTTCTTGGGCATTGATAAATAAATAAAACAATATTAAAAAGGAAGGAACCTGCTTAATTTTATTTGAATTTTAAAATTAATTTGGCAAAGAAAACGCAAACATTGTTAAAATACAGTTGCCAGGGTGACGAAAAAGAGTGAAAGAGGAAAAAAACTCTGAAAGAAGAGTGTGCCTTGTCAATGCCACGCAAATTCCCTTCACCATTGCAAAGCAAGAAGCGTGCTCTCTTTACTGAAAAAGCAATGGCTTTATAAAGGCTGAAAAGGTACCTTCATTTACCATTTCTAGAAAAACAGAGCACAGCAGACTGTAAAAAAACCCAAACAAGCAGAAGCTAAGGGTTAGACAAGCTGAGTGAAACTATGGAAGATGAATAACTGAGTGAAAGCTGCCTCCCAGATGCTGACAGGGGAGCCAAGGTACAGGTGTGATATTAAATGCCTGGCTGGCTCGGACAGGGATGTTGCAAGCTCTCACTGCAGAGTTGAATGTGACCTGTGCCAGTGATACCTCTGCAGAGCCCTTTTTGATTTTAATGCGTGCTCCTAGATTGATGCAGCCTTATTGACAGCCACGTTATGGCAAATAGAGCAATATGCAATTTATACATGCAGCTTAGTGCCACCAGCCTCTCCATTTCACAGGATGATTTGACAATGGCCCTGGCTGCTCCAATATATACTCACAAATACTGCAGCACACGCAGGGTCTCGTTATCGGGGAGAAATCAGCAGGACAGCCATAAAACAAATACGACTCACATAAGCACACTGCTGAGGAGACTGTCTGCAATATATGCTCTGATTAATGTCTGGAATGGCAGCAGTGCAAGTTAATGCTTTCTGGAGTCTTGGATGACATGCTTGAAAAGATCTTTGGGAAAGTCGTGCCCACTTCTATGACTTGACTGCAAACTGAGCAACCCCCCAAATGCTGACCTTGGATTTGACTGCAGGGTAAGTGCTGGAGGAGATTGCTAATTGGGGAAGTCCCGTGGATGCCAAGGGCAGCTCCTTGTCTTACCACCAGCACCTCTGCATCTTTTGGGGGTTAAATTCCTCCCTGTTTCAGAGGAGAGAATGAAGCATTCTGTCCTTCTAACGCTCACTGCTGTCTGCAAGGGATGAAACAGCCTTTGAAAAAGTTTGGAAGAACTTCTGCAAATAAACCTCACTATGACCAATGCACTTAAAATAGCTTCAATCCTGCAAGTATTAGACAGTCTCAGGCCCTGACTCTCCCTCTGAAATACAACTGGACTATAACAAAGAAGATGTCCTATTAAAAAAAAAAAATGACATAAAAGCACTGAAATCATGTAGAAACAAACACAAAGAGGCTTCTGCCCAATGTGGTGAGAGAGAAAACGATTAAATCACATGAAAAACCTGTTGCTACCACTTCTGCATCTGGCCAACAAAGAGGGCTAGAGAGGCCCCACTCAGTAAATACCTACTCTTGTTGGATCAAAGGGGTAAGAATGGAAGCGAGTCCTCAGGCTTTATGGACCTGATCCAGTTGGTTTTTCTACTAATTTCTGTGGGCTTTGGCTGGTGTCCAGGCAGCAAAAACAACCAGGAGCAGGGCTAGCCTTGCCTGGCAAGTGGAAGCCCTGCCAGCACTACTGATTTTTACTCTCTCTGCCCTAAAGCTGGGCTTTCTGCTCAACTCTGGAAAGCTCCATAGGCAGCAAAAGGCTTCTTGGAGCCCAGGAGAGTTTTAGCCAGACCCAGGAACGCACAAGGATGCCCAACACAGTCACTCCCAACAGCCCTTCCATCAGTCCCCATCCACATCCAGCCATCCTGCTGTTTGGTGGCACGGTGGTTGTGATCTCCTCCGAGCACAGGCAGCAGTCACAAAGCTCTGTATTGGCCAAGCAGCTCTGCCTGGCTCTGCTCCACTGAGGAAGGACTGAAAACAGAGCCTTCTCTGGGCTTGGTGGGAGGGGAGCCCTCAGCCTGAGAAGGGCTCAGGGGCCAGGGAGAGGAAAGCAGATAGTTTCTCACCCTGTCTTGCTCTCACGAGGGCAGTCAGAAATGCAGGAGCTCTCAGAATAAAGTTTCTGGGGCAGTTCTTCCTGTTGCCTTGCTTCCAGTAATGACTTTGTGCTTGTTTACATTAGCAAGTTGTACTACCAGTATTTTATACAGCCCTAGCTAAATCAGTACAACACCTGTATTGTACCCAGCGTTGCCTTGGTGTGAAGGTGAGTATAGTATGTCTGAGTCCTGAAAAAGCAAGCCAGCAACATGCCAAATGGATACTTAGAGGAAATGGGAATGCTGTTGTATTTTCTGACACTCAAACTTGATAATGACCACAGACTTACTGTGAAATTGTAAGTGGCTTCTTAAAAATAAGACACTGCTAGATTGTAGACAATTACACCTACCTTGCAGCACCCAAATAGGAATTAAGACCTGGGTTCTTTTTATAGTCTTGTTTTTTTGTCAATTTATTTATTAAATGGGAGAGGATAACATGAATTATTACTTTCACAAAACAAGGTATTTCTGACAAGAAGCCTAATTCATACAAGTACGAAATTCTGCCTAACATTTCCAATGTATAAAGACAACAAAACTCCACAACTTAGCAAATCCACCAAGTAACTTCATGGAGACTGCACTTGCATTTTGAGGAAGAAATTGCTCCAGTTTTGGTGGAGCCTACGCAGGCTGTGACTGCAGGATGACACTGTCTTTAATGGACAGAGCTCCCCAGTCCTGTCTGCCGTGGTGGACAAACAGATAAAGCTCTAAGCTTTACAGAATGGTGACAGATTTAACCCCAGGACCTTTAACTCTTTCACTGAAGCTGGGCACCTCTACATTCTGAGCTGGAGTTTTCCAATTTGAACCTTACATCTGACAGTATTACCAAATAATGTTGCTCTGAGAAGGGCTTTGTGACAACGCAATCATTAATGCTCAAACTCACCCAAATATCCTGGCATTCACTGCCAATGGAGTTAAATAGTTGAGGTTTGTGGAAGAAAAGTGGTGTGGGCGATGCAGACCCCAGCTCCTGTGACAAAGACCCTTAATATATCAGAGATCCAAATTAAGTTAGATTAAAACCAAATTAAACCTGATGTTTCAAGGTGGTAATGCTACCATTGTAGAAAAATGTAGGGAAAATGGATTAATTGAAAAAAAAAAAAAGTTGGTATTTTGCAGATATTACAATCTAGGCAAAGCAACCTAGAGGAAGGGAAGGGAAAGGAGTTTTCCTGCTGTACTTGTTGGAGACTAGAGCACAGTCTGGAGACTCCAGCTGGCACCACGCACGGCATTCGCAGGGGAGCTCCGAAGTGCCCCCGGTGCTCCGCGACCCCTCCACCCCTCCTTTCCCACCAGCACTCTCACATTCATCCCTCAAAAACGTCAACATCCACCTCGACCCGGAGCCTCAATCACAGCCCCGTGCCTCCCCTCGGGCGCTGCTGCAGCCCCGGGGCTCTGGGACGAGCCGGAGCCGCGGCATCCCGGGCAGCTCCCCGCGGGGCCGCAGCGGCACCGGGGCTCGGGCGGCCGCAGCTTCCCGCGGCTTTCGGCCGCGTCTGCCGGGTCCGACCGGGGTGGGAGCCCCGGCGGGAGCCCCGCGCCCGCTCTTCGCAGGGCGCTCACTTCTGATGCGATTACAGCTAATTAAAATTTAAAATTCAAATCAACTATCGAAAAGGTCATCTTGAAAAATCCGTCGGCATTTGGTATTTATCAGCTGGCGCGCAACTACAGACAGACGCGGGGTGTGAATGTGTGTGTGTGTGTGTGTATGTGCCGGGGGGGCAGCGCCGCGCCCCTCGCCTCAGCCCCGCGGCCGCGCTGCCCCGGCCCCGCGCTCCGCGGCACGTCGGGCTGCAGCGGGCGGGCGGGCGCGCCCTGTCCGCGGCGGCGCAGCGGAGTTGGGAGCGGGACGGCGGCGCTGCCAATGCAGCGGCCAGGAGGGGAGGGCGGCAGCAGCGGCAGCAGCAGCAGGAGGAGGAGGAGGAGGAGGAGGAGGCGGCGGCGAGGGGGAGGGCGCAGCCGGCAGCGCGCACCGGCCGGCGGCGGCGGGGCTGGCCGGGGCGGCGGGGCCATTGTGTGCTCCAGACGGGGACACGGCCGCTCGCCACCGCACCCTCGCCCGCACCCGCGGCTCGCAGCAGCGAAAGTATCGCGAGAGCGGCCGGCCAGCAACCTGCTCCGCCACAGCCCCGCGCCGCGCCCGCGGAGCGCCCGCGCCGCCGCCGCGCACATGCGGACGCCGAGCGCCGCCGCCGCCCGCCGGTGAGTAACGCGCGGAGACCCGCGGAGCGGGGACGCGCGGGGGGAACTCGCCGCCACGCCACACCCCGGCGGGGGAAAGTCCTCCCCGCAAAGTTGGGGAGCGCGGCTGTGAAGGGGGGAGATCCCAGAAGCGGCTCCGCCGTGCTTCCCCTCGCCGGCCCCCCCAGCGCTGCGCGGAGCCGGGCACCGGCGAAGGTCACAGCGGCGGGCTGCGGGGAGCAACTTTGCGGCGGGAGGTGGGGTCCGGGCTGGGGGCTGGTGGTGGCGAGAGTGTCGGAGGAGGGGGGGGCGGGCTCGGGGCAAGTTTGTGGGATTTAATCGCGGGCTATAAATGGGGCTGCTGGAACTTTAAAAGGCAGCAAGCTGTGGTTGGCTGGTAGCGAGATTTGGAGTAACATATGGCATTAAAAGGCGCACAGCTGGAGGTAGCATTTCCATCGCAGTGAAGTCAGAGCAGCTGACTCTCCAGCTTGCGGTGTAATTAGCAAACCGAGCACTCCTCCTTCCCTCCCTCCTCCTCCCTCCCGCCTGCCTCTCTCTCTCTCCCCCTCCCTCCCTCCCGCCGCGCCTCGGTCGCACTCGCACCGCGCTCCCTCCTGCCCGCCCGGCTCCGCGCCCGCGGCCGGCCCCGCCGCGCCCCGCGGAAGGTAAGCGCCTGGCCGCGGCACGCAGCCGGCTGCAGCCTCGGAGCTGCCCTCCCGCCGGCCTTCCGCCGCTTATTTTCCTCCTTGCCTTTTAATAACTTCAAGGGAAACTTTTTTTTTCCTCCCCCCTTTATCCCCCCCCGCTCTTTTCGCGTGCGGGGGCCGGGGCCTCTCGCCCCCCTCCCCGCAGAGCCGCCGCTCCCCCAGCGCCAGCCGCCGCTGTTTTGTTGTGATTCGGTGCATAACGACTGAGGATAAAGTTTAAATGTGCGTGTGTGTGTGTGTGTGTGCGTGCGTGACGCGGGGAATATGCTTTATTAAAAGATGCCCCAAGTTAGCGTTGCTGGGAAGACAGCCTGGGAGTTGATGCTTTTTTTCTTTTCGGGGGTGTGTGTGCGCGCTGTCCTCTGCATAATTTTATTAAAGTGCTTAGTGGGAGAAACAAAGGTTGGAGGGGCTGCTGCTTTACTAGCTTTTGTTTACTTACAATCAAGTTTTTCCTGTTCGGAGCAGGTGCGAAAGGATGAGAAACATGTTGTGTTGGTGGTTTTTTTTTTTCCTCCCCCCCCTTAATAAAACTATTACAGACAATTAACAGTAAATGTTATCTCCAAGGCTGTTTCTTTGGCTTGGGTTACCAAAAAGCCGATCTGTTTGTTACAGCTGCTAGGAGGCTTTAGTTTACAGTAGCATTCAAGTTTTTCCTGTTTTGAACAGGTTATGAAGGAAGAATGGAGTTTCCAGACCATAGCCGCCAGTTGCTGCAGTGTCTGAGTCAGCAGCGTCACCAGGGCTTCCTGTGTGACTGTACTGTTTTAGTTGGAGAAGCTCAATTCAGAGCTCACAGAGCCGTTCTTGCCTCTTGCAGTATGTACTTCCATCTTTTCTACAGGGACCAGTTAGACAAAAGGGATATTGTGCATCTGAACAGTGACATTGTCACAGCCCCTGCCTTCAGCCTGCTGCTCGAATTCATGTACGAGGGAAAGCTGGAATTCAACAGTCTCCCAGTGGAAGATGTGCTGGCTGCGGCGAGCTACCTTCACATGTATGACATTGTGAAAGTCTGCAAGGGCAAGTTGAAAGATAAAGAATTATGTTCGGAAGAGAAGATTAATGATGAGGCGGCGAGTTTGGAGAAAGCGGAGCATTTTCTAGACGCCGGAGTGCCCCTGGTCCACGAGTTTGACCCAGGAAACAAACAAAAATTCAGCGTTGCAGAATACGAGAGAGCAGCAGGCAAAGAAAAGGTCAGCAGTCACCCCGCCTGGTCCTCTGATCATATAAGTGTCAGCTCTGTGCCGACAGAGGCAGAACCGTGCGCCGCAGCAGCTGGAAAAACAAAGGCTAATGTCAATAGTTCCACAGGACCTTTGTCCCAAAGGTCTGTTAACCATCCCCTGGCTTCGAGTGATGTGGACTGCGCGCTGGATTTGTCTTTCAAGCCCGTGCCGGGGAGAGATTCCTTACACCCCTCCTATGTCTTTGGACAGCTGGCTTCCGACAGCCAGCAGCAGGGTACCGAGCCACTTGTTAAAGATGAACAAGACTTGCTGTCAGATCAGGAGGACAGCGAAGCCAGGAGTCCAGAGAGTCAGCATTTTGGGAATTCAGCCAAAAGCCTAGTGACAGGGTTAGGACACATGTTCGCGGGGAATGGCAGCTCTCATGCCCGAGAGGAGGATATAGATCAAGAGCGAGACGAGAGCGAGGACGACATGGATTCGTCGGACATCTCCTCGGGCGTCCTCGTGCCTCCTGGGCATATCTGCATTTGTCCCCTCTGTAGCAAGGTGTTCCCGAGCCCGCACATCCTCCAGCTGCACCTGAGCTCTCACTTCCGTGACAAGGACGGCTCCCGGACCCGCCTGTCCCCCGACGGGTCGGTCCCCACTTGCACCCTCTGCGGAAAGACTTTTTCCTGCATGTACACGCTAAAGAGGCACGAGAGGACTCACTCGGGGGAGAAGCCCTACACCTGCGGCCAGTGCGGGAAGAGCTTCCAGTATTCCCACAACCTCAGCCGCCACGCGGTCGTGCACACCCGGGAGAAACCGCACGGGTGCAAGTGGTGCGAGAGACGCTTCACGCAGTCCGGGGATCTGTACAGACATATCCGCAAATTTCATTGTGGCCTTGTAAAGTCCTTGGTTGTTTGAGATGTGTGACTTTTCTTTTGTTTAGTTTGTTGTTTTTTTTTTTCTCTTCTCTTTATTTTGTTTTGGTGATATTCACTTCAGGTATATGATCTTTAAAAGATGCAGAGGTATACACTCCAGAGGCCTTTTAATGCAATCCTTCCACCTCTCCATCTCCCCCCTTCCCCTGCCACCCTCCCTTCCTAGCACAGTCCTTTAGGTCTTCTCTTGTGCACCCATGTTACATTATTAATGTGAAATGATCTTAAGTAATTCTGCAATGATTTAGCATCAGTTTTCACACTGGAAGTACTTGCTTTGTGGTCAGGGTTTTCTTGGTTTGGGTTTTCTTTTCCTTTTTTTTTTTAACCTTTTTTTTTTTGAAAAAAGATTTTCAGCACATTCTGGAGAAAAATTTGGCTTCCATTAAGCTCCCCAAATGCCCTCTGTCTGTTGCAGAGAAACATCTGAAGAGATGAACTATGATTTAAATACATTTTGGTGTAGAGAAACCTGTCCGCACATTACAGAGTGCACAAATGTACTTTTATTTTATAGAGCTAGATGAGACATCGAATTGGCCCAAATTTTAAAGGGGTTGAGGATTTCTGGCTGCATCTTTGGTACTGGTCATTTTTTATTCTCTTTATTCCATTAATACTGTTCTGCAGTTAGTTGGTCCTAAAATCTAAATGAGAAGTTTTTGCCTTGGGACTTGACTTCAATTTTCCTTTCCCACCCATCCTCCTCACTGGGCTGACCTGCTGAAAAGCTGCTTTTGAGCATAAAATGTGGATGGAAAAACACTTTCTGTCTGCAGCGTATTCACTCCCTAAATGTTGAAGGATGCACGCTAGGACATACAAAAAAAACTGTATAATATGTGAATATTTTCATTCCCATATCAACATCCAGAGGCTGATCCCATCACCCTGGAGGGGACAGCAGCTACAAAGTGGCCAAATCCTGTTACCAGGTTTCTGGGGTTTCATAGCTCAAGGTGACTCATGCCTTGTGCATTAGGAGATGCCCTCCTGTCTTGCCCGAAAAGTTTGCTGCCATGCTAAAACCAGCAGCATGAAATTATATTTTATTTTATTTTTATGAAGTTGGCAATTCCCTCTGAGCCAAATTGTGTGCAATTGCTGGTGTTCCCGAGAGGCAGCACGAAGATGGAGGGAAAGCCTGGCCTGACTTCTTCCCCAAGTCCCACCTTTTCAGGGGAAGTTGTTGGGGGTAATTTTTTTATTTTTTTTTTTTTAGTTTATTTGTAAATTGAGGCTGCCTGTAACTATAGCCAGTTTTACTCCAGATGATTCACTTTCTTGCCTATTAGATCACCATTTGGTCTGTGCATGTTGGTGGATATCACTTTGTTCCCTTCCAGTCAAATTACCCATTCAAGGTACCTGTACATGGGACTGAAAGATAATAATAATAATATCTGAGGGGTGTGAATATCCTTCTGCTGCATTAGCATTGCTTCACCAGCTTTCTTGACACTCCTGGAGTTGTTTGGTGAAACTTAAGTATGTGTTTTGAAATGAATTTGAAGCACTGAGTTAGATTATTTTTAAAAGTTGTGCTTAAAATACTGTATTGCATCTTATGAAGAAAAAACTTCCCAATGCCTTTCCCCCTCTGGTCCTAAAACTGAGCACTACCTACATAAATAATATGGGATTGAGTTTTGGTTTTGTTTTTTTTTTTAAATAAGTACTTCCTCTTTAAGGAAAATCAGGATATACTTGTTACAGCCTCTTATTATTCATCTCTTAAACTATGAATGTACATGTAATGTGAAATTTTGCTTTTATTTATAGTTTTGGGGTTTGTTTTCAGTTTAATTTCTCAACTGTAAAATATTTTTGCTGAACCTGTTACATATGAAAGTTGTGGGAGAGTACTGTATCTTGAACATAAGTGGCTTTGGTACTGTGGTCTTATTCTACTTAATCAGTTTTTTCTTTTTTTTTTCCTTTTTTATTTTTGCTGTGATTGGAAATAGCACTGAACAAAATCTAGTAAAATTAAGTTATTTTTCTTTCTACTAAAATTAAGTTATTTTTTTCTCCTGAAGATACTTGATATAGTATTTATTAGATTTTTTTTTGTTTTGTTTTTGAAGTGGAATTATTACTGTTAATCTATTTCAAAACTAGTTAATTTACACTTTAAATTTTATAACAATGGGTTTTGCATGTTGAGCAACATGTAAAGAGTTTAATGTAGAGTCAGCATTACTGAAGCTGGTAATCTTAATTTTGCATTCTTGTGACACTTTTGTTTGCATTTCAGTCTTCAAATACTGTTTTGTTTTTTTTTTAGAAGATCATAAAATAGGATGTGCCATAAGAACATCATTAGCGTATGGAGCAGGGAAAAGTTGAAACAAGTTTTTGTCTGATCTTAGTATAGAAATAATTCATTAAACTGATGCTATGAGCATGCTCTGTGCTGCAGTGAATATGGGGCAAAAGTTTTGTTTTGTTTTTTTTTTTTTTTTTAAATAAGAAAAAAAAAGAGTTTCTCATCCTTGACTACATCATGAACACACTGTTCTCAGAGTCTGGTATTTGTGTTCCCACTCCTCTTAGCTTGAATTTCTAAAGTAAAGAAATGTTTGCACTTATTTTTGTTCTTAAGGTGACTTTTTTTTTTGGCTATTTCTCTGTGTCTCTTATTTTTAAGTTGCAATAGCTCGGAGCATGTTTTCAAAATGGTTCATGGCTCTACGGAGAAGTACTAAAACATGGCACACTTAACGCTTGTCTCTTCATAAACTATTTCTCTGTGGGGCAGTTGCTGTCTCCATAGGGAACAGTCCTGCTCTGCATTTTAAACACTGGATTTGTCTTCTACTACAAACAAATACTGTGAAGTTAATGTAAGAAAAAAAAAATCATTGATATTTTTAATTGTTTTTAATCTTGGTGCAGTTCAGATTAAATATGTATATTTAAAGACACTAATTTTTGTGGGAGAGTTTTATAGTATACAGTATGTAGAAAAGCTATTGGAATGGAATATATTTTATAAAAATGTTCTATCACTGTTTTATAGTGAACTATTTTTCCTTCAGTGTTAGTGTAATACTGTTAGTCTAGATACGACAATCGCAGGAAGAGTGATTCAGGCTACTGTTAGCGCTTAGTTTTGCGTGGAGTTCTGTTTGCAACTGTATTGGTATGTGCTGTACAATGTGACAATCGTGACTAGGATTGTTGTCTTTATAAATTTACATGAAATAAAACGTGCTAGAATTGTAAGCTTGAGCTTCCTCCACCCTTTAGCAGAAGGGGTGTGGTGTTTGCCATTTTTTATGATGTATTAATAATGATTACTTTAATTGCAAGTATTTTATAATTTGCCACTTTAAAAAAAAAATTATTACAATGTACTCTAATAATTTCTTTCTTTTCCAGGGCCATCTGGAATTTTAGGCGTGTAAGGAGCTGCCGTGTCTCAGTCAGAGCCTGACTGAGCATTTCCTTAGTGACTGGGCTGGACCTAGCCCAGCAGCACTTCTGCATTTTGTCCGGGGGTTTTGGGGCCGTTTGAAGGGGCGCAGCGCTGCCTGGGGGAGCTGTGGGGAGCCCTGTCCTGAGCGATGCTGGTGGTGGCCAGGTGACAAAGCTGTGAGCACGGGGGTGACGTGGTGTGCGAGGACAGCCTGGCACCCTCGGGCTGACCCAGTGCTGGCTGACTGGCATGAGGCCGTTCTCTGAAGTGCAGAGTCTCCCAGCCTTGGGGAGCTGAGCTCTGACCCACTCCTAACACTGCCTCAGTCCTTGGGCTGAGTTTAGCAGGGGCTGGGACTGGGAGGAAGAAGGCACGGGCTGTCCGTGCTGGCTGCTGCTCAGGGGACGTTTGCACCGTGAGCACTGTGTCTTGTGCTTCTTAATTATTTGGAAGCAAAAGGTCCTGGCAGAGTGGGACTGCCTCGAAGTGGTGCTGGTTAGAGGATGAGCAGGTTATGGTTAATGCTGGTGTGGAGGCACAGCTATCGCTCCCCTCCTGCTACCACGGGGCGGTTTCTTTGCAGTCATCTCAAAATAGGTGGGTCTTTCTTGCCTGCAAGCATGTGTCCTTCCTTGGAGATCCTGTGCCTGCATCCCCATCTGTGGGGAGGGCTGAAAGCTGCTGAAGATGCGTGGTGATCTGCTGCAATGTGGTGAAGTGTTAAAAACTAAAAATATTTTCCTTTTTAGTGTGTTTTTTTTTTAATTTCTACCGCTGAGATTTAGGTGTCCCTGCAGCTGCTTATTTGTGGCACTCTGTTTCCAGTCTTTTCTGCTGTTGTGGATTCAAAGGTGTTTTATATTACCCTTGCCTCCCCAAAAATTAAATAAATTTGCCCAAATCTGAGTGTGGTGCTGGGCAAGGAGGAGGCAAAAGGCTTTTCTTTGAGAGAGAGGGTGCTCAGAAAGAAGCAAGCTTGAAGCTAAACCTGGGAGGTGGATGGCTTGCAAACAGGCTATAAATAACCGTGAGTAGATTGAGGAGAGCAGCCCACATCTCCTCTGGCATGGGCATGCTGTGCCCATTTTCTTTGTTGATAGCAATTGCTAATGTGAATTCTGGCACTCCAAATCCCGATGCCTGTTGTTCTGATAACATAATTAAATCTTAGGAATGTGAAATACAAAAAGCTTCGAGAAGAAACCAGGCCACTAAGCAGATACTGGGAAGGGGGTGTGCAGGCTCTGTATGTACCAAATAAGCCATGGGGTTGCTCTAGGCAGGATTCCCTGCCTGCCAACTCTTGGCCACCTTGGGAGAGAGATCCTGCGACCTAAAGGAAAGGGGGTGACCCCCAGGAGCATCTGCTGTCCTAATCCCATGCTGCAAGGGCTGTCATCTTCCAGGATTACAGCACCTGGTGTGCTCCTTAGGTTGGCAGGGGCCAGCTGTGCCCATGCCAGCAGCTTGGGTTCATGCTGCTCTTCCAAAGCCTGGTTCTCCTTGGGATGAGTGTTGGGAAATGGTTTTGTTTATTTTTAACTTTTGTTTTGAAGTCTGAGTGCCTTCTGGAAGTGGTCTGGTAGGCACAGA